GGAGGCTGACTCAGACTCTTTTTGAGACTTTTTTTCCCAGGGAGACTCCTGCTGCAGCTCGACCGGCCGGCCGGCCGGCGTCCCCGACAGCCACAGTCTGAGCGGATTCCTCCAAGATGAAACGCAGTGGAGTCGAAGCCAAGAACAGCAAGTGGCACGGCCCAGATGTAAACCCACAACCCACCCGTGTGCTGCTGGGTCGTGCAGTGAGGAGTCTCTGAAAACGCATGAGTAATGGGTCGTCTGCAGACGTGAGGTAGGCTGTGGGGAATGCCCGTCCAGCAGAACAGAATCTGAAACATCTCTTTAGCGTTAGCTTCATAAACAAACCTGGCAGCTTCTTCAGAGGAGTTTTAGGCTAAAAATAAAAGTTTTTTTTTTCATCTTTATGAATCTGAGCCAACTCTGCAGCTTTTGCTTGATTAAGCTGAGACCCAGAATTGAGTTCTTCTGCTGCTCCAGAAGAACTTCAGCATAAATCAGTTTATATATTTTGACACTGTTTGGCAGAATCGGAGTCAGAATGCCTTTGGTTAGCGTAAAATGCCACTCTGCTTACTAAGAAGAACTTGCCTGACTGCAGCGACAGAAATGGATGGAGAAGATAAAATTAGGGTTTGTGGGAAACTGTTGCGGCATCACATAAATCTTTGTGTATGAAATAAAAGTTCAGCGAGGCTGACGCAACACTTTCATCCCGCCACAGGCTTCCAGCCTCGTCACGTGCAGCTCTGGCCGTGTTTGATTCAAGCTGATTCAGGCTCGCAGATGTCAGTCAAAGGCGTTCTCTACTTGCTCGGTCTGAGTGTGACTCAGGAAGCACTCTCGTTCCATTACAAAGCCCCCCCCCCCCCCCCCCCCCCCCCCCGCAGACAGGAGTTTACAGGAATCACGCCGCAGACTCATCCGCAGCAGTACGTCTGTGCTTTATGAATCAGTGGAACACCCAGACAAAACGCTCACATTTGCCCATATTTCACTGCTGAGCTCAGAGACGTGGGCTCATGGGAACGTAGTGATGAGTAGAAATGCCCACCATCGTGGTCATGATCCAGGGAAGACGTGTGACGTTTCCTGTACAACATTTATAGCTAATTTCTAAAGGTTGTACCAGAAACGTGCCAAGCAGAGGTCTTTACTGTGAGATCAGCAGTAAAACCAAGTTAAACAGATGTTTGGTGGAAGATCGAATCTCTATCAGCATGAATAATCTGGGTTTTTTCATCATCTGCCATAAAAGAAGCGTCATAACTGAGCCTCATTTCATCAGCCCTGATGATGAATCTTATGGCTCTAAAGCAGGGGTGTCAAACTCATTTTAGCTCAGGAGCCACATTGAGGGAAATCTAGTCCCAAGTGGGTCGGACCGGTAAATTTAAAAAAAACTTCAGATTGTTTTCTTTGTTTTAATACAATCAATGTAAAACAAGGCTGGAGCCTGAGGACAGTGTAGTACAAGTACAACACCTGAAGTGTACTTGAAAATTTGGAAAAAAATAAAAAATAAAAAAATCAATTAATAAAAAAAATTCCTTAGCGATTCAAAGAGCTTACAGATCACATGGCTAGATCAGTTTCATGCAGCACTTAAAGTATATTTGACTCATTTTACTTTACATCTTTTAGCTTTCACCAGCACATCAATATCAGAAGTCACATCCTGAGTGGCGGCCAACTTCAGGATGTGATTCAAGTTCTTGTGTGAGCCTTGAGCACAGCTTTGTTTTATTTATACTCATTACAGAGAAAACTTGCTCACAATGATGTTTATTTTCACTCTACATTGTAAAGTATGAAAATAAAGTTTACACAACCATCTCTCGGGCTGGATTGAACCTGCTTGCGGGCCGGATCCGGCCCGCAGGCCGCATGTTTGACACCCCTGCTCTAGAGTTTGAAGGCACCAACCAGATAAAGTAAATGTGTAACGCTGAAAAGTGAAAATATGCCTTTTTCTACCTTTAGAGAATTTCATTCTCGAATTTAGCTTTAAAAACATTTAAACATGTAATTTTTAAATCACATATTATTAATGTAAATTCCGAATCTATCAAATAAAAATGTAGAACGTTGGGGTCTTGTGCATCTTTTTTCTGTTTTTCCAAATACAAAAAAATCACCACTGACCTATTTCAGATAAATAAAACGTGTTATACTCCTCTGTAAAAAATAATATGGTGATAAAAATTCCTCATGTAGGAAATAAACAGTTTCCTGGTTTTGTTTGTTTATAAAGGATTTAACTGCTGGACTGCTTGTTTGAAGCTCATAATTTCTTCCTGATTACGTTTCTGGAAGAACTAAATGTTTTAACCAGCTAAAGAACTTTTCTGTTTTCTTTCCTCAGGAGTTGTTCGGTAAAATAAGACTTTTGATTTTTGTTTTGCTAAAGGCTTAAAAAGTGACAGATTTAAATGCTCTAATAACCCAAACCCTTCACGTTCAAACACTGACTTTAATACACTTTCTAAAGATTTTGAATTAACTTTAACACCTTCTCCTTGTGTTTTTAAAGCTAAAGGTTGTCTTGAAGTTAAATCCGATTTTGTTGTTGTACCTAGTTCAATTACAGTAAAGCACATATTACATCATTGATTATATCAGAAATTTAAGAAAAATACAAAAAATGGGGGGTATGGAATTTTCTGAGCAGATTAAAGATAAATTTGTCAGAATAATAAACCTTAGAGTCCTCTACACTTATCAAAACCTTAATTATTGTCCCAAAGTAATAATTTAGAATTTATCCAGCTGATTCTCAATCAGAAGAAATAACAATGAATTAATGTAAATGGAATATTTAGCCTTATTCAGTTGTTATCATGCTAAATAATGTAATTTTTCCCCCTTAACCTAAACCTATTAAATTAAACTGTAATAACTTTGGCGTGTTTTTCTTGTAAAATTATTTATGGAAACATTTGAATAAACGGGATATTCACCTGAAGCATAACAGTGTAAATAACCCCGTTCACAGATGTGAGAAGGTCTGACGGTGCAGAAGCTCAGCAAGTAATGCCGTAACGGCCACTTTAGTCTTAGAAGAGTCAGATTATCTTCCTGCAATCACGCGTCTACAAATCAAACACGGGAAACTGTCGACTTCAACATATTTTACACTTTATCTAATTAAAATAAAGATTTTTCTAGCACTGTTTCACAAGAGAATGTGTGTGTGTGTGTGTGTGTGTGTGTGTGTGTGTGTGTGTGTGTGTGTGTGTGTGTGTGTGTGTGTGTGTGTGTGTGTGTGTGTGTGTGTGTGTGTGTGTGTGTGTGTGTGTGTTAGTTACATTGAAGGAAATGCACCTAAACATGACCAAGCCCAAGGCATCTCTAAACTCAAACAGACGTTTTCGTGTATCTGAGAGGGAGCGCCATTCGCTCTCCTAACATCCTCCTCAAACAACCTGAGCAGCGCCACTCCAGCCAGGAGAAACTTGTCAGGTATCAGATGATGCTGAAGTCCACACTTCACTCAAACCTGACACGCTTTTCACCAGGAGTCAAGAGTTTTTCTTTGCAAGTTCAATATTTTCTTTGCTGGTGGGCTGGCTAAGATATTTATAGCTCAGAGGACGGGCAGTGTTGGGATTATCAGCTGCTGTAGCACACACACACACACACACACACACACACACACACACACACACACACACACACGAAAATAAAAGGCAAACTTTGTCCTTTAAGACAACTTTACCTTCTCATCCACCTTTTTGCAACATTCATTTTTAAACCATCCAATATCCTTTTTAATCACAAGTTTGGTTCAGACATTTTGGAAACCTTGGAGCAAAGCAGGGAGCGTAAACCCTCGGGATCACTAGAAACATCACCTCCTCTTTCATCACTTTGTAGAAGTTAACTTTTCACAATCACAGAGAGAGGGGTAAAGGTCAGAAATGTCCAGGATGAGGTACATTCTTCCCCCCAGTGTCTCATCTCCATCATGACGTACATACGTGTTTTTGGAGATTTGCTGTGTAGCTCTGTCTCCAAATGGGAGAGTGTAACACGATCGGTCTGAAATGAGGCATGATACAAAAGACTGATGAGTACTGGGATTGCTTTCACCAAAAGAGTCACGAAACTGGACCAAAACGCCTGGATTCACAGAAACAGCAGACAGGACTGCAAAACGCATAAACAGGGTCATCTGCTAATCTTTACTTATGATGCAGATCTCTGCTCAAAAGGCTATTAAAAAATGAACAATGGCTTCAATAAGGTAAAGAAAAACACTCCAGTTTTAATCTGTGCAACATAATCCACAAAACTCATCCTACATTCCCATAATTTTCGGGGAGCGAGTTCAAAAGCCTCTCAGAGACAATGAGGGGATTGATTGTGTTTGGGGATGCGGAGTGGGGATGGAGGGTACAGCTCATAAATGCTGAGACGCATTCAGGGAACATGTGGTTTGCGTTTGGAGACCAGGAACAATTATCAGATCTGTGGATGCTCCTCTCGCTGAAAGGATGATTGCTAATATGAAAGTCTGCTCATCATAATTTAGGAAGAGGCTGTAATTACCCTCCTATCCTCCGCTGTTGTGTCACAACAACACCAACAGGATGGAGAGAACTTCCTGATCACTTCAGCTGTGGAATTGTTCTCCCTGATTGTTGCACGTCCAACTATTTTTAATGAGGAAAACTGGAGTAATGCTGTTTCAAAAAGGGAAAAAAGGAGACTTGAGCTCCAAACTCAAAGTTGCCTGCATGTTTTCCTCTTGAACTAAATGTCACCGAGCCTTGTTAACACACAGGGAACATCCCTCCACGTGGAGACTTTTATTCCGCTGTTATTTATGAATTGGCAAGCGCATCCAAGAGAACTCTGTGTTTAATTATCAGACCTAATCCACATCTGTAAAAAGCGCTTTCGATGCAACACGTGATGGATTCTTGTTAATGAGAGATAAACACATTTTGCTGGTACATTTTTGAATGTTTGAAATTCGCCCCTCAGATTTGATCCTATGAAAAGGCTGGTCCTACCTTGGAGCGGCGGCAGGGCCACGCAGAGGCGCGAGGTTTTGGCCGACAGATGCGCTCTGTCCGCTGTCGGAGGGAGTCTCTTCGGGCTGGCCCGGTTCATGTGGTCTGGTCGGCACGGCTGAGATCCAAACGCAACGTTCGCGGCTTTCCGCGCGCACATCTCCGACTTGGTGCTGAACACGGAGAGAGACAAGCCGGTCAAGTCCGGGAACGTCTGGCTCTGACAGTGGCTCACCATCCCGACCAGCGATGAGGAGCTGCGCATCGGTCAGCAGAGAGGACCCATGCAGCGGTGAAGCGCTGCTCCCTATGGACGAAAAGATAAAAAATCACTGCAAACTAAGTTCAGACATTAATTTGTTTATTATAAAAAATAATATCCACCTTATTTAATGTTACTATAAGGAGCGTATAAGTCCAAGAACGCAAACCATCATGGATGCGCCTGATGATAAGCATCCTCTTCAGTCTCAGCATCCTTTGAGTGAGTCTCTCTCTCTCTCTCTCTCTCTCTCTCTCTCTCTCTCTCTCTCTCTCTCTCTCTCTCTCTCTCTCTCTCTCTCCAATGAAGTTCAAGTATAGGGAGGATTCATTTAATGTAAAAATAAAATTGTCAGTGTGTGTGTGTGTTTGTGTTTTTGCGTGGACACGTCCGCACCAGTGTGTGTGTGATAAAGAAGTAATTTTATGTGATAATCTAAGTTTATTTTCATTCAGATGTTTCGATTTGGTAAAAATGAATTTGCTGTAAAATAATCTTATCACCACAAGGGGGCGACAAATGTTATAGATCAGAGAGACTGGACCGGGTATTGAGCTGTTCTCAGATAGAAATCAAAAGTAAACACTCTTAAAAACCGTAAAAAACTAAAGTGATCAAATCATAGTTTACACTAGCACTTTTTTGTTATTTAGGCTACTTTTCAAACAGCGCTTAAACGTCTGAAAATTATTTCATTAATTTGTTTCATTTAGGCAGCACCTTAAGCAGAAGCCCAAAGTGCTGAACACAACCATAGTGGGCACATTAACTAACATTAATAAAACATAAGTTAAAAACAATAAAAGATAATAAAAACAAGTAAAAAAAGAAAATAGATGAAATCAAGGCAATGCTGTAACCCCAAGTGCTGAAAATGCCTGAACAAAAATGATGTTTTTTATCATTCTAAAGGCCAAAGAAAGTCTTACTTTGAAACTGTTTTCAAAAAGGAAAAGTAAGTGTTTTAATAGCATTTTAGAGCATTAATGAAATAATCGTTAGGTAATGGCTTTCATTTTTAACTTTCATTAATTGGTTTCCGTTACAAAAATATCACAACCATTTAAACCTGCCTGTGTCCATTTTTAACTGACAACCAAAAATAATAATTAAAATCTTCAATTGTTTGTGATACCAACAATAACAACAAGCAGCGTTTTTCTTTAATTTCAGACTCAAAAATAGGAAATAGAAAAATTGGCATCCACATTTATAGGTTTGGGTGACTTTTAACCACGGAGGAACACAAAAGTCAGAACGTATAAACCATGTTTTATTAATAAGATGTTTTATTAGTAAACAGAAATCTAAATGATGACATCATGTGTTGTTTCACATTCATTTGACCTAACATGCTGTCCTACACCATCACATCCACAGTTCAGACAGCCAAATAGAAACAGAAACTTTATTTTCCCTCAGAGGAAAACAACGCTGCAGCATCATCTTGTGGCTGGAAGAATGAATCCTAAACAGCTGGCTAGGAGTCAGTCCCATCTGTAAAATCAGTATGCTAAATTGTGGAAATTCTGTTGGAAATGTAACTAAAAATTTATTTTTAAAAAGTGTGAAAGTACTGAAAACACTTTTTGTATTAAAGAAAATGAATTGAGAACTTGAAAACATTCTCAAAATAAAAGCCTGCACATGAGGAGCGATCATCAACGTAACCATCAAATGTTTTTATGTCTCTTTCTTCAACAACAATGTAGTGTTCCCTTCAATATGCAGTGCTTTTAAAAAGTAACCCCCCCACCCCCCAGCACACACACACACACACACACACACACACACACACACACACACACACACACACACACACACACACACTCATTTCTGCTGTTGCAGTATTTTCATTACAGGTACAATTTTCGGATTAGAAAACAAGTTGAAATATAGTTATTACAAAATAATTTTTGGAATAATTATTTAAATTATTTACACTCAAACCATCCTGCTTCTGCGTGTAAAAAACGATGGGTGAGTTAGTCATGATTACATTCAGCAGTTATAGCCAACATCATAAAGCTGAGTTTCTGGAAACTGGAGGAACGGGAGCCGTGTCACCAGGTTCATATTGTGGACTGGTTCGTTTTTTTATCGAATGGAATTTTGTCTGTTTCCGAGAGCCTGAAGGGGCTTCCTCTTAAACAACATCTGGGACAAGCCTGAACAGGAACGATCACATAGATTAAAATATAAAAACACTAAAAGATAACTTGTGGTACCGTTTCTTACTGCTGATTCAGTTTCAGGAAATGTACAACTCTTTTTTCTTTGATGCTGATAAGTAAACATGGATCAAGCAATCAATCTTTATTTGTATCGTGCCTTCCACTGCCTTTACAGGAGCCCAAGGTGCTGAAAATTAAAATATCGAGATATGAGAGAGAAGGCTCAGAGGAGAACTGCTGCTCCTTAATAACAAAGTCCCAGCTGAGGTGGTTCAGGCATTTGGTCATGGATGCCTACTGGACACCTCCCGGGGGAGGTGCTTTAGCCATGTCCTGGCAGGAGAAGACCCCAAAGCTGACCCTGGCAGGGGCAGGGTTGCTTTGAGATCTTTCTGGAAGAGCTGGTGAACGTAGCTGGAGAAAAGATGATCTTGGTGTTCCTGCTGGGGCTCTTGTCCCCTCAGCATGAATCCAGATAAGTAGTAGAAGATGACGATTATTCTAAAAAGGTTTAACTTCCATCCATCCATCCATCCATCCACTTTCGGCCGCTTATCCAGGGTTGGGTTGCAGGGGCAGCAGCCTAAGCAGGGAGGCCCAGCCTTTCCTCTCCCCAGCCACTTGGGCCAGCTCCACCAGGGGAATCCTAAGGCGTTCCCTGGTCAGCTGAGAGACATAGTCCCTCCAGCGTGTCCTGGGTCTTCCTTTAGGTCTTCTCCCAGTTGGACGTGCCCAGAAAACCTCACCAAGGAGGCGTCCAGGAGGCATCCTTACTAGAAGCCTGAGCCACCTCAACTGGCTCTTGTTAATGTGGAGAAGCAGCGGCTCTACTCCAAGCCCCTTCCGGATTATCAAGCTCCTCACCCTGTCTCTAAGGGAGAGCCCAGACACGCTGTGGACAAAACTCACTTCGGCCGCTTTTATCCACGGTCTCATGACACTACCCAAAGCTCATGACCACAGATCAGGGTAGGAACGTAGATCGACCGATAAATCGAGAGCTTTGCCTTCCAGCTCAGCTCTCTCCACCACGACAGACCGGTACAACACCCGCATCACTGCAGACGCAGCACCAATCCACCTATCGATGTCGCGCTCCGGCTTTTCCAAGACCCTGAGATAGTTAAACTCTTATGTTAAGCTATAACTAATAGGTTACAGGTAAGAAAAACTGATATTTAAAAGGCCAAATGGGGTTGAGTCAGTATCGCTTTAATGCAGCAGTTATTCCCAACATCATAAAGCTGAGTTTCAGTTCATGCAGCTAAAGAAACAGGAGCTGAGCCACCAGGTTCATGTGGAGTGGTTCAGTTGGTTTGTTTTAATGTGTAGTTTAGTTTGCATACCTGAGAGCATGAGTGTTTTTTTCTCTTATTCAACATCTGTGACAAGTCTGAACAGGAACAACGATTATTTTTAAAAACCAAACTGTGGTACCATTCCTTCTTGCTGGTTCCGTTTCAGGAATTTTACACCTTTTTTCCAAGATATTATGTAATAAGACAACACGAATACTTCCTAAAATAAAGTTCATTTTAAATATGACGTCCTGTTTTCAGGATGATGGTGTGCAATTGGGGGGATTTTTTCTGCTTTTCATGGTTTTTTATTCTGATTTTACTTATTATCAATATTATAACAAGAAAGATAAATCTTGAGATTAACTTTTGGCATATAGATTTTTTGTATGTATCTACTAACAAGGAAATAAAAAAATCCATCAGGAGAAATTAAATCTCTTAACATGTGAACTAAGATTGGACTTGTGTTTAAAGTAGTTTATGATGAACTTGATGAGAAGAGTTGGCAGATATGAACAAATAATTAACTAAGAAAATGATTCAGTCTCCTTGAACTGATGTAAAAATAAACTTGTGAAATTGTGATAGAAACGCTGCATTAATGTGTGTAAAAACAATCTTGAAACATAACTGATGAATTAAATTACCTTTTCATCCTTACATCTCATTAATCATTTTCTACTAAGTTTCACATTTGACCATTAGGGAACTCAGATTATAGTTTGTCTTTTGCTTCTATAAATCCGAGCAGGCAGATGCGCCGTGAAGGCATCACTCCTCGGTATTCTGTGGGAGGAAGCCGAATGCACTGTTTTCAGTTGTAACGGAGTCAGCGCGTGCAGACGGAGCTCCATGTTTCTACAAAAACGGATGGTTTACCTATCTACAGCATGCATGTGCTGCTACATTCTGGGAACCAGCATCCTGCTCAGCGTCCTAAAAGTTCTCTATCCAAAACTCGCCAGGAGGCTAATTCTGAAAATGGGCGAAAGTCTCCAAATGACCCAGAATGACAAGTTTAAATACGAGGACTGGGGTCTGACGTTAACGTCATTCGCGTTTATGAAGTCCGTTTTTCAGAGCATGTGGCTGTCGCTCGGACAGGAGGCCTTCGTTGGGGGAGAAGCTCCAGACTCACCTGTGGTCACCATGGACGGAGAAGAGACGAGCATCTGCAGCTTCCTCGCAGGTGCGTTCAAGGGGGGTGAAGAGCGGCGGCGCTTTAAGCGATAAATGACCTCTCAGAGTTAAGACTCCAAAAGCGCTTTACACTTGATTTAAAATCAGCTCTTCACGTTTCTGTGTTTCTGTAGGAAACCGGCCGCTGGTGTTGAGCTTTGGAAGCTGCACCTGACCCCCGTTTGTTTCCAAACTTGACGAGTTCAAGCAGCTCGTCCGGGAGTTCAGTGACGTGGCCGACTTCCTGGTGGTTTACATCGCCGAGGCTCATCCTGCAGGTGAGTCTGGTAAATGGTAAATGGCCTGTATTTGATATAGCGCCTTCTAGAGTCCTGGAACCCCCCAAGGCGCTTTACAACACAATCAGTCATTCACCCATTCACACACTGGTGGGGATGAGCTACAATGTAGCCACAGCTGCCCTGGGGCGCGCTGACAGAGGCGAGGCTGCCGAGCACTGGCGCCACCGGTCCCTCCGACCAACACCAGCAGGCAATGTGGGTTAAGTGTCTTGCCCAAGGACACAACCACAGCGACAGACTGAGCGGGTCTCGAACCTGCAACCTTCCGATTGCGAGGCAAGCACTTAACTCCTGTGCCACCGTCGCCCTCTGGAGAGGCCCAGGTGGAAGGGATCAGCAGGAAAGGCTTTCAGATCAAGATGGACATTTAAAAATGATGTGTAAAGGTATACCATGTTCTTAACTTTCTAAACACTCATTTTAATGGGGAATTAATTTTATTGCACTGGTCATAATTAGAGGTAGACCAAAAAAAATCAACTTTCTAATAAATAATCGATGAAAATCGGTTGTCATCTTGTAAAGCTGGCTTATTATCAAGCAAGCACAAGGCTCAAATCAATAAATAATGAACGTATAAGTTTAAAATGATGTTGTGCATGTTATGTTGTATGTGTTATGTTTGTTATTGTCTGTGAAGCACTTTGTGTCTTCTGTTTGTGAAAAGTGCCATATTAATAAATGTCCTTCTGTGATGAGTGTATTTTCTAAATGTCCCATTTCCCTTAAGTGTTTAAAAATGTTTAACTTTAGAATTTTTTTTTTTTTTGTTGTTTTCAGAAACACACAAATTCACTAATGCAGTTCTTGTCAACCGCTAATCATACTCTTTATTTAAAAATGACTAGTTTATTTGCTGCTGGCTTCTAATGGGGAAACTTCTTGACTTATGTAGTTGTTGCTTAGCATCATAAAATCCTTAAATCTCACATTTAATGCTTACAATGATCAAACTTGGATTCTGGCACAAATTCAACAAACAGATGTGATCTGCACCGTATCATTCCAGAGAAATCAAGTGATCTGTTTTCGTTTCAGATGGTTGGGCCTTTTCCAACAACATCGACATCAATCAGCACCGGAGCCTGGAACACCGGCTGGAGGCAGCTCAGATCCTGGTTCAGAATGAACCCCTGTGTCCCGTGGTGGTGGATGTAATGAGCAATGTTGCTGCTGAAAAGTACGGCGCCCAGCCTGAGAGGCTTTATGTGCTGCAGGCTAGAAAAGTCCTCTATAAGGTAAGGTGTTTGCACGACCAACACCAACTAAAGCTGGCTTACGGTCACAATCTGTAAAAATGGGAACAAGTGCAATGATTTCAGCTAAATTCTCTAATGTTGACACCGTTTCATGCTGCTCCTAAAGTTTATAGCTTCAATATGGTGGAGGAATTGTTTTCAGGGTTTTCCCCAGCGCTTTATAAGCCTGGCGGCCCGCCAGGCTTTGCTTGGCCACCCACCAGGCTAAGCGTCATGCCCCTCCCCGACCCTACCGTGTCCGCTGACACGAACGGTGCAACAAAACTAGAGCCCTCCATCAGCTGATACTGGTGAGAAACAGCAGCGGAACGTGTGCAACCCCCCACCCCACCTCTGCTCTCATGGAGGAGCACTCTAAAACTTATTTAGAGCCAAAACTGTCACAGAAACTTTGGAATAAACCATTTATGAATCGTTTTTCTCTCTTGTGTAAATACTTACTATACATCATTTTTGAAAAACCATAATCTTTTTCTATTTTAAGGGTTTTAAAAATAATTTGAAAAAGCTTGTCATTGCCCCAGCGTCCTAGCCTAGTGAACTAGACCAAATTCTTGCTTTGCAAATAATACATTTATTTAGTCTGGCTTGCCAGGCTACCAGCGTCCTGGAGCATAGAAATTTGTCTCTGCAGCACAGCCTGACCAAGGTTAGACACACAGACATATAAAACGAAAGCAGATAGAAAGAAAGAAAACAATCTTTTATATAGTGCCTCTCAAGATAAAAATCACGATGCACAGGAGATACAGGCAGACCACGAGAGCAGCCATACAAGATGCTCATAATTCGAATTTCGAACCCTGCCAACTGAGCTTGTTAAGACTTAATTGGTGCCTGGTAGTGTTCAATGATGAATGTGATTAATGTTACTGGTTTATGTGAATACAGTCTACTTGATGTTCTAAAACTTGCTTATTAGTTTAAAATGTTTCACATACACACACACACACACACACACACACACACATTCTAGTGTACACTGTAGTTGACACTTTTTGTTACTAAAAGTATCGATTGCGAATTTATTTTAATCGGGAATCGATTCTGAATCGAATTGTCACCCCACGAGTTGGAATTGAGTAGTGAGTTGTAAGATTCACATCCCTAGAAATACATTCTCATATCTGGTTTTGGCACTCTTGGGTGTTTTACGGTAGAGAGCACTTACTACACTTATTATGGTAGTTGTTGGGTATTTTTATAATTGTACCTTTTTGAGGCCTAAAAGATGCCCAATTTGTGTTATTAACACTTCATGAATCTCTGTGTTTGCCAACTGTCACTGTTCATGAAAGGTTGAGCAGAGAAGCTCGTTTGCAGTCAAGGATGTTGATTCCAACCAAACCTCTGTACCTCTGTAACCTGAGAAGGCCCTGCCTTCTCCTCCATCCTTTGCTGAATAAAGCCCCTGGGAAACTGAGGAGACGGGGAAGTAACGTGCGGGACAGCCTCGGAGGAGGTTCCTCTGCGTTAACCCTCCATTATTTTGGGGACTCAGGGTAAAATGTCTCCCTTGTTGTCATGTGTGTTATTTCAGGTTCCAGGGTTATTAACCCACATTTAATTACCTAACAGTAGTATGCATCCGTCATTACAGGAAGAGTTGTTGTTTGCCGTCCTGCTGTTAGGTTGCTGTTATGGTTCTTAACAAAGGAAGTAAAGCACCATGACTCATTATTTACTTCACACACACATTTCACTGTAGTATCGAGTTGTTGGTTAGTGGAAAAAGTAGCTTGAGATATTTTAGAGCCGACTATTTGCTGTTAGCATTGTTAGCTCAACGTTAGTCTACTAGATATCAGAGTAAAACAAAACGATGCCATGGCTTCTTAGGGGTGCAACTTCTGGCTTGCTCCTGTTTACTGGCATTGGTTCAATTCAATTCAAGTTTATTTATATAGCACCAAATCACGACAAGAGTCGTCTCAAGGCACTTCGCATAATAAAAATTCCAATTCAGGTCAGTTCATTAAGCCAATCAGAAATAATGTTTCCTATATAAGGAACCCAGCAAATTGCATCAAGTCACTGACTGGTGTCAGTGACTATACAGCAATCCTCATACCAAGCAAGCATAAAGCGACAGTGGAGAGGAAAACTCCCTTTTAACAGGAAGAAACCTCCAGAGAATCCTGGCTCAGTATAAGCAGCCATCCTCCACGACTCACTGGGTATCGAGAAGACAGAGCAGACACACACACACACACACACACACACACACACACACACACACACACACACACACACGCGGACAAGTAATGTGTCTACAGTTATATTGTGATGTCTTAGTAAATATTCTATTTGGTGAAAGATAAACTTTATTGTATTTATCCTAGTGGATCTATAATTAAATGGATAGACTAGTATTAGCACATCAAAAGTCAAGGAAACCAAAAAGTTATTATCAGGAGAGAGAGAATGTTTAAGTGGTTAGCAGCAGTGTGCTAGTCGATGGCCCCCTCCATGAGGCCACCACAGCTCAGCAGAACATCATTGTCGCATCTTCTGGGCAGAAAAACATTTACAGAGAAAATAAAGTTAACAGCTGAAATTGGACAAAATAGTACAGTTAAAGAGCAGACTGTAGAAGAAAGCAGTAGAGTGTGAGAAGTGGTCAGTGTATCCTCCAGCAGTCTAAGCCTATAGCAGCATAACTACAGAGATAACTCTGGATAATCTATCCTATTCAGATGTAGGCATGTTGGAGGCAGGGCAAGGGAGAGCCGTCTTTACCGACTGTACACTCCACCTCCCTGTACTCCCCCACTTGTCCAGATTTAGGCTAACATCAGATTTTAACCATAGGCCCTATCAAATAAAAATGTTTTAAGCCTAGTCTTAAAAGTAGACAAGGTGTCTGCCTCACGGACTAAGGCTGGGAGCTGGTTCCACAGGAGAGGAGCCTGATAACTAAAAGATCTGCCTCCCATCCTAATTTTAGATATTCTTGGGACCACCAGTAGACCTGCAGTCTGAGAGCGAAGTGCTCGGTTAGGAACATATGGAACAATCAGATTCCTAATGTATGATGGACCTTGATTATTAAGAGCTTTATATGTGAGAAGAAGGATCTTAAAATCTATTCTGAATTTAACAGGTAGCCAATGTAGGGAAGCTAAGACAGGAGAGATATGATCTCTCTTTTTAATTTTCATCAGAACTCTAGCTGCAGCATTTTGGACAAGCTGAAGTCTTTTAACTACATTCTGTGGACTTCCTGAGAGTAATGAATTACAGTAATCCAGTCTTGATGTAATAAATGCATGAACTAGTTTTTCAGCATCACTCCTGGAAAGTATGCTTCTAATCTTAGCAATATTCCGAAGGTGGAAAAAGAAAATCCTACAAACTTGTGAAACCTGGGATTTGAATGACATGTCCTGGTCAAAGATAACACCAAGGTTCCTTGCTTTGTTCTCGGAGATTAATGTAATGCAATTAAGGTCAGGCGATTGGCTAAGCAATTTCCTTTTCTGGATTTTTGGTCCAAAGATGAGAACTTCCGTCTTGTCTTGATTTAAAAGCAAAAAGTTTAGAGTCATCCAATTTTTTATGTCCTCAAGACAAGCCTGTAATGTACCCAACCGATTAGGTTCATCAGGGTTAATGGATAAATATAGCTGAGTATCATCAGCATAACAGTGGAAGTTTATCCCATGCTGTCTAATGATTTTACCAATTGGGAGCATATATATAGTAAAAAGAATTGGTCCAAGCACTGAACCCTGTGGTACTCCGCAAGTAACCCTGGAGTATGAAGACGATTTGTCATGTACGTTTACAAAATGAAATCTGTCAGACAGGTAGGATTTAAACCAGCCTAACGCTGTTCCTTTGATCCCTACAACATGTTCAAGTCTTTCTAAAAGAACATTGTGATCAACTGTATCAAAGGCAGCACTGAGATCTAACAAGACTAGAACAGACACAAGATTCTTATCTGAGGCCATGAGAATATCATTTGTAACTCTCACTAATGCAGTTTCAGTGCTGTGATACTCTCTAAAACCAGACTGAAATTCCTCAATATTGCCCTCTGTTACGTTCCTCTGAGATGCTGAGGACAGTAAAGATGGAACAGTTGATTTAAAAGACGCAACTGCGTTGTCAGATAGAGACCGACTATAGTGAAATTTACTTTCATGTCTCGAGAACTCAGTTATAAAAAACTCAAAGGTTATCAGAAAGTGGTCCGAGAGGACTGGATTATGTGGAAAGATTGTTATTTCCTCACACTCAATGCCATAAGTCAGCACAAGGTCCAATGTATGATGGCAGGAGTGGGTGGAGCTATGTATTCTTTGAGTGAAACCCATTGAGTCTAAGATATTACTAAAGGCTACATTGAGGCAATCATTTTCAATGTCCACATGAATGTTGAAATCCCCCACTACAATGACCTTATCAGTATTTAGCACCAAATCAGATAAAAAATCAGAGATCTGATCCAAAAACTCTGAGTAAGGGCCTGGTGGACAATATAAAACTACAAACAAGAGTGGTTTTACAGTTTTGCAATCTGGATTAGGAAAACTAATCTGGAACTTTTTGCCTGCCAGTGTAAAATCGACCCTAAACCCCAGAGTGTAAACAGTAACCATGTTCCACTTTTTATTTATAGGAGAAAAACTGACAATCCCCAGCCACTTGAGAATGTAATCTCTCAATGTAACCTTCTTTTCAACATGATTGAGACTTTAGACTGTTTGTGTTTATTTCACAGTAGAATTCTTACATGTTGCTCCTTTAATGTAATTCTGTTAAGGAAATTTAATACAAATATTCCAGCATAAAACACAGGTTTATTTTTTATTCTTATTTTTAGCCAAATTTATTAAGAGCCATTGCAAATGGTCCAAAGAGCCACTAGTGCAGTGGTCCTCAATAGACAGCCCGTGGGCCCCCTCCTTGTGGCCCCCGAACCCCCCACCCCCGTCACACAGCCGAGCTGGAGGGAAAGGGACATGTGTTGTCCTTGATATTGTTGCTTGTGTGTTATGTGCACTACAGCCAGCCCCCACCCCCACCCCCCATCCAGTTCAAGTTCCAGACAAAAGCAAATCTTTATTTTTATTTCAAACAGACTGTCTTTTGATCTTCGATTATTTAGACATCACCCCCTCATTGCACTTGTCATGTAATTAACTTGAAGTTTTAAATGGGTGCGGATCTCTGATCTCACACAGTCGTGTGAAAAGGACCAGTGAAGACATAATGGAGAAATTCTTGGAACTTCCATCAGATCCGTGATAGCCTGATGACGTGATAAAGACGTTTCTGAAGATTCGTGTCTTTTCTCCCTGATTTCACAGCTAAGTCACTGAACATATTATTTTTTTATGGAACAGTAATTTTTATTTTTGCATTTTCCCTCAGGGTTTGATGGGGCCTTGGGGCTACAGTCCACAGGAAGTGCGCTCAGTGCTGCAGAAGATCAACTAAGAAGGTTTTTCAAAATGATCCTGAGGGGAGATTTTCTTTTGTAACTAACATTTATTACTGGTATAACTTTACCTTCTTTATTGGACTATTAAATCAGAATACTGCTGTCTCTACATGCATTTTTATAATACAACCACTGTATTAATCCCCTGAAATATGCACTAATGTTGCCCTCTGGCTCTTAGAAAACAACCATGAGCTTAAACTCAACTGCCTGTGCTTCGTAATGAAGGTTACAGATTAAACCTTTGGCTTCTGTAACCAGATGAATTGAAACACGGGAATTTGAAGCTTAAATAGTTGTGCTTCTTCTTTTTGCTGTCTGTTTCATTTTGGTTTTAAATGTTGTCAAATAAAAATGTATTCTATATCTATTTTATGTCTGGGTTTAGTTATTACATCTAAAATCAATTAAGAGACCACTATATTCCGTTTAACTTACATTGAAATAGGAAAAAAGTTATCTGATTGAATTTGATCTCTGAAATAAAATAGTGATTTGACATATAAAACAAATATTTCATGAAACCATATGCTTTTAATTTAAAATCTACTGAAAGTGTGCATCATCAACCAGCTAAATCCACTTGATAACACTAGCAATCAACCTTTACATAATAGTCATAAATCAGCGTGTCTGGTTTGTTGTTTACTCAACACACGTAATCAGAGATGAAAGCGTAGTTTTGTTGGAAGCTAATTAAAAAAAGACAGTTAAGATCCACAGAATTGCCCTCAGAGCAACAGGAGCTACGGTCTGGTTGCTGTGATTCTGCAGTTTCCTCAAACCATTAAAACAAAATAAAACTGTTTCAGAGCCACAGGGGTCTTTGTTATTGCATCCTTGTTCTTTATTGGAATGCTTTTAGTACTCTGATGTTGATGTTTAATTCTTAGTGGAATCTTGTGTGTGGATTTGTCTGAAACTGATAAAAGGTGAGGGTTGTGCAGCTCCAACCACTGCACAAACAGAAGTTTGAGTTGCAGAGTGCAGCGGACAGTGAAGCAAGTTAATACTTAACTGTTTTATCTGCAGATTAAACCAGGTGTCCCTAATGTTACGTAACTAGTGTTTGTTTTATCAAGGAGTATGTTGTGTCTGTGATTGGCGTAATCGATGAATAAGCACCAAAGCAGATTGCTGCAATAAAAACAGATAGACCCGTGTTTTAAAATATCATGGACTGTAAATGAGCCAGTGACGTATACGAAATAAAAAAGATATTAGAGCAAGTCACCCCCAAATCAACAATTTTTTTCTGATAAACTGATAAAAAATGTGTGTCTAACATCGACACATATACTGGACAATTCATTTCCATAGACTCCAATAACACGTTTTTGAGGCTAAATGGGAGGAGGCCACCACCGCCATTTTGACCGTGTCACAGGTTCCGTCAAGCCCAGACAATTCCACAAAAGGGAAGAGAGGTGGAGCTGAGGGTGTGGCTGTAAGGCTGGGATCAACTGACAACACCCGGTCGAACTAGCTACAAGCTAACCCAAAGCTAACGCAGAGGTGGGAGCTAAGCTAACGGAGGTAGCAACCTAGCTACAGCCGGAGTTATCTGTGCACAACACCAGAGCTTCTGAGTCAGAGATACGCTGGGCTGACCGCTGGGTAAAACCGGGTGGAACACAGAGGTCTCCCGAAAGCTGCTGAAAGCCGGTGTCGGTACAAGATCTGCTCGGGTGCAAAATTGGCTCGGGGTCCGTCGACTGCCAATGACGTCTAAGTAGTTGATTGGCTGAACATGAACCATTACGCAATCACGTTACGTTGGTCCAGGCAAATCTTTCTGTTGGAAAGATGGACAACTTTTACAAAGAAATCCATCATTACCTCTTTGAAAATACACTTTTAGCATAGAGCTGCATGTATATTAGGGCTGAACGATTAACTGCATGTGCAATTAAATTGCGATGTGACAAAAGGAGATTTTCTAATCGCAAAGGCTGCAATTTGGCAGCGAGTGGTTAGCGCAATGCTAATATACATGGAAAAACCCATAGGAATGCTAATGCTAATATAGCCGATTACATTATTACAAATTATGAATTAGAAACGTGCCAAATGATTACATTTGGAGTCTAATAGAAAGTAAAACTACCATCAATCAAATAAGTACAGACAGGTTGTAAAGCCAGAAAACTTTTAACTCCAGAGTTTTGGCTAGCAGCTATGAGCGTAACGATATGCATGGACAAGACAACAAAAACTCTAAACACAAAATACTTCAATAAACGGGACACACTTCTTTCCTGCAAATACAATTTCACAGGTGTTGCTAATACCTATGATTCTTCAAGGGATGTGCTCAAAGAGGAGTTCAACATTATGAATAAAATATAGTGTTTTATTTTACAAATACCATTATAAACACAAACTTACGTCTTAAGAAACATTATTTTAATAACGAAACTGCTAAATTCTTTCCAACAGTATAGATGTGTAGTTGTCCGAGTGGGTTTGCCGTACTTTGACGTCATCGGCAGTCAAAGGACCCCGAGCCGATCTTGCACCCGAGCAGATCCTGTACTGACACCGGCAGCCCGCACAGCAGACAGAAGCCGCGATCAGACAGAGATGCGCCGAGCTGCGGGAAGGGGAGAAACGGGTGGAAAACATTGGTCTCCCGAGAGCTCCACAAGCCGATAGTCGGAACCCAGCTCCACCAACATGTTATATTTCAACCCATTTTCTAAAGTGCAGCATTATGTTAAATGCACTTGGTTTACCCTATTACATTTAAATTTCATGGTTAAACAGTACATGTTAAAATCTAAGCTCAGCTCGGCAGTGACCTAAAATACATAAATATAATTTTACTTACCGAAAAAAATGAAGTGGAGACTCTTTGGACGCTCTATTAGTGCAATTAATACCACAGCAAGTCATTTTGTCCAACAATTGCACAAATAATATCCAAAAAACAATACACAAACACAGAGACTCAAAATGCCGGAGCAGTTTCCAAGCCAGACCGAAGCTCTACTGAGGCCTTTCCACGGAGCTAGCTCTGTGGTCACGTGGGTCTGATGCTCAATGATTGTACAGAATTTTAGGCTTTTAATACACTTAAACAGAAGAGTGAGAAAAATATTCACCCCCTCAGAGTTGTCATGAGTGTAAACTAGATCATTTAAACAAAAAACATGTTTTGGTACCAGGCTGTAAACATGTTTATTTCTGCTGTGAAATTGGTATTTTTAACATGGGAGTCAATGAGGATTTGCTCGTTTCTGACACCAGCCCCTAGTGGATGAGGATTGAACTGCAATTTATGGTTTTTCCGGGTTGGGCTCAATTTTTGAGCCGCATTGTGGGGGCTTGGTGTCTAATCATGCTGCAGACACGTGTGGTCAATAGTTTTGCACTTTAGTGCATTTTAGTTGAAATTTTTATTTTCTGCCTAAAACTGTCAGTGTTGTGCCGTTGTCAGGTAAAAACTCTGCACTGCATTTGAATTCAAATCTGCCATCGCTATTGGCTAAGAGGTACCTTAGAACGTTAGCTGGTACCATATGATGTCACAATGTTGTTGTGAGCCTGTGTGTGTGTATTTGTTAGCAGCTCCGCCCTCTTGGTCTGCTAGGCAACAGCATTTGTTGCATTTTTCAAACAGGAAGTGGGAGTGGAGTAATACTCTGGTAGGGGGTGACTTGCTCTCTAAGAAAAAAAACTGGATTAAAATTGTTTGTCAGCCACTTGCAGCTGTGCAGCTCTGAAGTTCCTCTCCTCCTCAGCCAGGCCACTCCCTGTAGAGACGAGCCAGCAGCAGCTCAGCTCGACATCCGGACAGGAACCAGGACACCGCCAGATCCTTCAGCTCTACGTTCAGGATTCATATCAGAATCCTAACTGGAAGAGTTGTCAGTTGATAAATATTCAAATCTCTGCAAAACATGACACGTTCCCTGACATCCACCAGAGGGCACTGTGACGTCACGGATTAAGCTGCATAAAACATGGAGTCGTTTCCTGTTTTGGCAACTTAAATTCAATGAAATGTGTCAGTTTCTAAATAAACAATAAGAAAACTATTCTAATTTGTTTTATAGTGAAATAAGTATTGAAATGAGGTCAAATACAATGAGATGAATTAGAGTAACTCTTAATAGCAGAAAGCTCAAACTTTTAAGCACCCTTTCTGGATTATTCCTTTTTTGTAAATGTGACATTGTTTCTTAAACGGGTCGGAATAATGTTTTGATTAGATTGCTTTAGGAAACTGTTGGTGTTTTGTCTAAAACGGTAGCCGCTGCCATGTGGTCAGGCCCCCTCAGGGACCTCGGTTTGACACAAGGATGTAGTGTAGCAGCAACACTGTTACACTCAGATGTGAATGTTTATCGGTTCACTGTTCTCTGGACAGGAAATGCCAACAATTGGCCAAATTAATTAGCTCATAAATAAGTAAATAAATTGGTCTAACTACACCAGACTCTATGTTCACTCAGGTGTCAAAATTCCCACAAGCCTACAAAAAACACCCATAAAGAGAATGACTAAATATTTAGATTAACTTCTTCACAACCATTTGGATTATATCCTAAAATGTAGGCCAAGTAGTTTGAGTAAATGTTTAAGGTTAGTGATGTGATCTTCGTTGTGGCTGTTGTTTTTTCTATAAAAGAAAACTAGAACTAATTTGTCTCTGACTTGGAAAAATATTTAAAAAAAAAAATAAATCAGCAAGAAGCCACATGAGATAGGATCAGAGTAAACAGTTTTTAGTTTCTGACCTCAAAAAATGAAAAACTCCAGTCAAGATCCTTTGTTCTGATGAAATAAATTTGGTAAAACTGAACTGCGAGTAAGTCTGACCATTTCAGACAACAGAGGTTACCATCAGAGGATTAGAGGCGGACGGTATTCATCCCTCAGTCTATCCATCATCGTCTGCTTATTCGAGGTCAGGTCGCAGGGCAGCAGCCCTGTTCTCTTTCCTGATGCTCGTTTACTTGGTGTAAATCAGCTGAATTCATAATTAGTCGTAATAAAACAGCCCACACAGATATAAGTTATTGTAAAATTATATTAACAAGCAATCTTTCCTCAATTTGAAATAAAAAAATATCAGCAAATAAAGGCAACATAGGACAGATGTGTATAATGCATCATGTTCACAGGTAAAATAATGAAACATAAAACTTCTCATCACATTTACAAGACTGATGCTAAGTTTATAATGATGCCTACTAGAATCGGTTTAGAAAGCTTTGACTGCCTGAATAACTTGGGCAATATACGTAGTCAAAGTCTGTATCAAAATATCAAAAAAACAAAATAAAATAAAGGAGGGAGGGGGTCAGGGCCAAGGAGACCACCGGGGATACAGGAGGGACGTTAGAACGACCAGTAGGTTAAGAGAGGCGACTCGTCCACCGCCGTTCTCATGGTAACTCAACCAAAACAGACAGAACGGCGATGAGGAGGAGGAGCACAGAGTGTTTAAGCACAGGCAGGTAAAGAGATACACACCACATCTTAAAGCAGGTGTTCACGTAGAGAAGAGCAGCACTAGGTAGTATGTTGTACACAGATTCTCAGCACTCATGCACTCACGTCTTACACCAAAAGTCTGGCAGTCCAGCCGTTCGCCCTGAAACAACTCTGAGTGCAGACCGCATCAAACAGGATCAATGAGGCATTTTAACAAACAAATGAGTGCTTAAATGTTGCAAAAGGTCGTCACAATAAAAGCCATATTTCTTTTACTTAAAAATCTCTTCGACTAGAAGGACGGGCCTGGGAAGAATGATATATATTAACAATAAAGGTGGCTGTTGAGTTAAAAGGCAAATTCTGAGTCAAAATGACAACTTTAGATAGAATGCATGGCAACGAAATAAAAAAATAAAGACAAAGACTTTCCAAGCACACAATGCATATGCACACTCTCCAGTGTTTAAATGACAAAAGCAGATATTTCCTGCACATCTTGCACCACAAAGCAATCATTAAAATGTACAAGAGGTAAACGTCAACCTTTTTTTCCCCCGTTGGCTCGGGAGGTTGATGGGACTCAAAAGAAACGGGCGGAGGAGGGGACGTAAGACGTGTCATAAATGCATCTCAGTAGCTGGTTTTGTCACATGTGGGTTTGTAATAAATGGAGTTGTTGTCCTTCATTTTAAGTAAGGAGCAGTAGTCGCCAGTTGCGTTGGTTTCTCTCCAATCAGCATTCTGGCATTAGCGTGGAACCAAAATGGCGCCTGTCCCTGATTTGGCGCTGATGTAGTGGGTTTTTTGGCCATGTTCTGCGTGAGTTCAGATCCTTGGAATGATGGCAAATAATGCTGGGAAGGGGGCGGAGGAGAGGGGAAGTGAGAGAGGGGGGTGGTCACACACTCATCGTCATGGTTGGAGAGTACTGCGGAAGCAAAGAAGATGGACGAGATTAAAACACACAACCCTGGACGTTTCCTCTGGATCACACTTTCTTTTACTCTCTGGTTGTGGAGGGAAGCAGAACGCACATTCTCACTCTGGAAGGAGTGGAGGAAGTTTCCACTCAGCTCCCCGTCATCCCGCGGGGTCCCGGGAGGATTGCTAATGCCACTTAAATTGTTTGGCGAGTTCTAGAAACAACAAAAACAGTAGTTACTTCAGATTTCTCTTCAACTACAACAAAACTCAAAGTATAGTCATGTTATTTACCTTGTTCATTCCATCCATGTCACCAGAACCTGAAACAGTTTAGGAAAAACAATTAAAAGAAAATATTTTACACATAAAAGTTCTGAAGTTTCTAAAATGAAACAGGGGACCATAGTTGAGGCTTTAAGGCAAACCAAGCATGTCAGTGTTGTGCTGCTGTAGTGTGTTACCTAGTGATCCGTTCATGTGGTGCGGTTCCATCCCAGCCATAGCTCCCAGTGGCCCGTCAGAGCCGGGGCCCATGGAGAACTGGAAACGTTAAACAAAAGGGATACTGGCTTAATAAGCAACTAGTTTTGGATAATATTAAGATGACCTGAATCGCTGCTCCATGACCATCTCGCTGCACAGTTCTAAAGAAAAATGGCTGAATGGGTCGTTTGGAGGATTGTCAGTGTTGGCCAGGCCCCCACAATGCGGCTCAAAAATTGAAGCCAACCCAGAAGTACCAAAAATTGCAGTTCCACCCTCATCCGCTGGGGGCTGGTATCAGAAGCGAGCAAATCCTCATTGACTCCCATGTTAAAAATACCAATTTCACAGCAGAAATAAACATGTTTACAGCCTGGTACCAAAACATGTTTTTGGTTTAAATGATCTAGTTTACACTCATGACAACTCTGAGGGGGGTGAATTTTTTTCTCACTCTTCTGTTTAAGTGTATTAAAAGCCTAAAATTCTGTATAATTAATGAGCATCAGACCCACGTGACCACAGAGCTAGCTCCGTGGAAAGGCCTCAGTAGAGCCTCGGTCTGGCCTGGAAACTGTTCTGGGATTTTGAGTCTCTGTGTTTGTGTATTCTTTTTTGGATATTTTTTGTGCAATTGTTGGACAAAATGACTTGCTGTGGCATTAATTGCACTAATAGAGCGTCCAAAGAGTCTCCACTTCATTTTTTTCGGTAAGTAAAATTATATTTATGTATTTTAGGTCACTGCCGAGCTGAGCTTAGATTTTAACATGTACTGTTTAACCATGAAATTTAAATGTAATAGGGTAAAACCCAGTGCATTTAACATAATGCTGCACTTTAGAAAATGCGTTGAAATATAACATGTTGGTGGAGCTGGGTTCCGACTATCAGCTGGTGGAGCTCTCGGGAGACCGATGTTTTCCACCCGGTTCTCCCCTCCCCGCAGCTCGGCGCATCTCTGTCTGATTGCGGCTTCTGTCTGCTGCGCGGGCTGACGGCTTGTGGAGCTCTGGGATGGAAACCTTTCCACCCGGTTCTCCCCAGCGGCAGCTCTGCGCATCTCAGATCGCAGCGGCGCTTGTCTGCTGTGCAGCTGCCAGCTTGTGGAGCTCTCAGAGACCCCTGTGTTCCATCCGGTTTTACCCAGCGGTCAGCCCGGCGTATCTCTGACTCAGAAGCTCTGGTGTTGTGCACAGTTAACTCCGGTTGTAGCTAAGTTGCTACCTCCGTTAGCTTAGCTCCCACCTCCGCGTTAGCTTTGGGTTAGCTTCAGGTTAGCTTGTAGCTAGTTCGACCGGGTGTCGCCAGTTGATCCCAGCCTTACAGCCACACCCTCAGCTCCACCTCTCTTCCCTTTCGTGGAATTGTCTGGGCTTGACGGAACCTGTGACACGGTCGAAATGGCGGTGGTGGCCTCCTCCCATTTACCTTCAAAAATGTGTTATTGGAGGCTATGGAAACCCATTGTCCATATATGTATATGTCGATGGTATTGGCACAGCACAGCGAACTAGAGGGAAAACGCTGAGCAACAGCCACAGAGGGTGTATTTTTTTAAGGTGGATTTCTTTTTAGCCAGTTCCCCCTGAAATAAGACGACATTACTACGATGGGTCAGCTTGGTTCTGGCAGAGGTAGGGCTCAAATGTGGACGTCTGGGCTCTAAAATAAAGACTATGCATTTTAATTGTACTGGAAAACTGAAAATGCTACGCACAAAAATAAGTGACAAACTCACGTGAAAGACACATCTGGATTAACAAACCCAAAGATGAGGTCAACGGCCAGGAGGAAGGAGATGAAATACTAAATTAATCAATTTCCCTCTGGGATTAATAAAGTATTTTTTGAATGTTAACATTCTTATTTTAAAATATAATGTTCTTAATATTCTTTTACATTTGTTCTGTGTGTAACTTCACAATCAATTATTTTATTTTATTATATTTATTTTTTTACACATTGCAGTAAAAAATAGTTGTTGACCTTAAATCTGACATGATTCGGCTAGCGACTCTAGCCATTATCAGAGCTCGCCGCTAGCCCAAAGATGTCAGATTCGAGGTAAACTGCTATTTTTTACTGCACTTATATTGAGGATTTAACCTCGATAACGATAAATGGACAACTACATGTATGCGCAGAAACAAGCATTGTCCACTAGATGGGGCTGTCACGTGTACTCAAGGTGGTACAGTTTCTTAACTCATTCACTGCCAGCCGTTTCCTGATCAGAAAAGCCCTTCGCTGCCAGCGTTTCTCACTGTTTTTACAGTTTTTTTAAGAGTCACAGGACGTTGCACGCTATGATGATGTCGACGCCAAAACTACCAAAACAAACATCAGGAAGAATCCGCGCGTTTTGAGCGTTATCCGTTCTTTCATAATCCGTTGTCGAACTGTGATCAGCAGAACTTTTTCGGTTCGTGGACAAAGATCAGCTTTAGAGCTGAGATGTTTGTTCTCACGGTGCAGGGGCTCGTTCTAATGCCCACACAGTAAAAAAAAAAAAAGCAAATGACGACTTTAGTCGCTGGATTTAAAATGACGACTTTAGTTGTCAATGGCAGTGAATGAGTTAAAGGGACAAAAGTGTTGCCAACCTACACTCACCTTTTCATTTTTTTTATTATCAAACTTATTGACATGGGAAAGACTACATCAATCAGAGTCAGACATTTCGATAACGGTACATTTTTGATTTATTGCCCAGCCCTAGTTAACAGCTTAAAAATAATTACAAAAAATTGGGTTTCCATTTTCCTTAAAAATCAAAACAAACAAGCTCAAAATAAATGAGTTGCCAGAACTTTCATTTACAACAGTGTGGTTCTGCCATTAAAACATTTTAGGTTTGATTTGTGCTGCTAACCGTTATCTTTGGTCTGATCGTTTCCTTTCAGTGTTACTGTAACAGCAGCCTAGAGTATCAAATAACCTGACAACAGAATCCAGAATTACTAGTGCATTTGCTTTGCTTCAATTATTAATCTATTTTATGTGCTCCCAGATGAATCGTGCAGCCCTGGTAGACAGCACACGTGCTTCAGTCGGAGCAGAAACGCTTATGTTTATGTATTTAGCAGACGCTTTTGTCCAAAGCGACTTACAAGTGCACACTTGTGCTGGATCACCGAAACAACTAACAAACACTATTCTGTCTGTGAAAGCTCTAATGTGTTCAAAAAAGAGGATTTATTTAAGCATGGAGACGTAAAAATCAGGAGGTGGGAGACACTCACATTATTTCGGTTGCCGGGTCCAGTGTTGATCATAGTGTACAAGTTGTCACCAGAGTTGTTTGAGTCTGAAAATAAAAGCATGTTAGGAGGTGCAGAAAACAAAGTTTGTATTAAACTGCATCTCTGGTAGATCTAACCTGCGGGGCTGGGCATGATGGGAGTTCCTGGAGGACCTCCGCCTCCAGATGCCCCCTTCAGAGAAGCAATCAGAAAATACAGACATATTTATTATTAAACTAGCACAATTTCTGCAGGATGTGCAAGGATTCATGCTGTGCTCTCACCCCGTATGCACCAGGAGAGGGTGATGAGTAAGGCATCTGAAACCAAACACAGAAACATTACAGACTGAGGGAGAGAAAGAGTGCACCCCTCTCTCTACACATCCAACTGTCCTCATTTATCATCTGATCATCCTAATACCATTACAGCTGGCTGTCCAACTGTCTGTGGAAACCGTGACACATTACACCACAATCACATACCAGACTAGAACCTCCACAGCTCAGAGAAGCGGGCTGAAAGAAATCTGAATCTTCATTTCCCTGACTGGTGTGTTTGTGTGCATTCAGTACTCACAGGGTTGCCGTTGTTGGGGTTTGGCCATGGTCGGCCTGTTCCCGGGCCCCTAAACAGTAAATAAGGTGAGTTTATTCATTCAATGTGAAAATTCTGTGACAGTATTTGCAGACAGGGAGCTCACATGTTCACTCCTGGCATACTGGGACCCATGGTGTTGTGTGGGGGCCTCATGCCTCCACCAAAGTTCTAAGAAGACAAAAATCGGTTTTCAGAATTTCTTTGATCAGAACCAAACTTTCGTAAATGGGAACATCTGATCACAACAACGCAGATCACATAAAGGCTGTTTAAATGAGGCACCATACTAGAGATAGATCGATATATCGGTTGACTGATAATTCAGGCCAATATTTGCCACTTTTTAACTCATTCACTGCCAGCCGTTTCCTGATCGCTAACGGCCTTCGCTGCCAGCGTTTCTCACCGTTTTTACTGTTTATTTAAGAGGCACAGAACGTTGCATGCTCAAATCAAATCACTTTTATTGTCACGTCACATGTGCAGGTACACTGGTACCGTACATGCGAGTGAAATTCTCGTGTGCGAGCTTTAGTCGTCACTGCCAATGACTTTAGTCGTCATTGGCAGTGAATGAGTTGATGTATCAGCATTAGCCGAAATACATCTTTAGTAGAGAACGTTTAGAGTCAGGCACATCCATGGGAATGTGGATGGGCGGCATTACCGTATGCAACCGGTGGTAGGAAATGGTAATGGTTTCAGTTCCAATAGTCATGATAAAACAGTGCATGTAGGAGACAAAGATTAAAGTAATAAAAACAAATAAATAAAGGTACTTTAATCCATGAAACGGATGCATAATTGAATTTTCTATTTTAATTAAATAGATTAAAATGTTTTGTCTAAATTTTAGAGGTGTTCCATAAAGTTTATGAAAGTGAAGTCATCATGTGACAGCTCAAAGACGGCGCCCAGAGAGAAAAACGGCAGCTTGCACACCAGCTGACTTGGTGTCTAAAAAGAACACAACTTCTTCAGTTTGGAAGTACTTCGGGTTTGAAGCAAACTTAAAAGCAGAGCTGGTAAAGACTGACGAGGTAATTTGTACAAACAAAAGATGACCGTGAAAGGTGCACACCCCGTAGGCACCGCAGAGGAGCGACCCGTAGCTGCAATAACAGACGTCTGTCTGGGGACTGTTATTAAACGGGACGACAACTGGTGTGTTTGTGTGCGTTCAGTGCTCACAGGGTTGGCAACGCACATTTATGGTGGAATTATGCAGCCAGCCTTCCCTAGATGCTGCCACTAGCCCTAAAGCACCCGTTTGTCGGTGCCACAGGCTCATTGAAGCGGGTTTTCAGTTGTTGGAGGTTGAAGCTGGTAAAGGTTTTTCAGACAAAAAATCTTTTTATAAGCTGCTTTTTAAAACAAGTTGTTACAGTGTTTCCCCTAGGAATTTTTCCAGCTGTGGTGGTGGTGGGTGGGGGGTGGGGATTATAACACGTCTCACTTTTATGTTAAAATTGTTTTATTTGATGCACTCCACTTTGAACTGCACCAATCCAGCAACTGCTGCATTTTAATAACTAGTATTAAAGGTGAATACACCAATATTTGCACAAGAATAATTTCTGTTTTAAACTCTCAATGAGTACGTTTACATGCAGCCAATATCCGGGTTATGATCGGGTTACGGTCGGCATTCGGGTTTTTGAGTTGATCAGAATAACCCGTTTACAAGCAAGAGTTACCCCTAACTTGCATAACCCGATGTAAATGCGGACGTTGGGGTAGCGTCAGGACGTGTGGACTATGTCCAGATGCAATATGCGTCATTTCCGGTTCTTCTCGTTCCGGTATCCGTGAAAACAACAACATTTTTCCCAGTTCGGAAGAGATAGCGACCGCGTTTGTTTGCGCTTTAATTTCCTCGTCACTCAAAGTGTGGAGCTGTCCCGCGAGTCGCCATGTTGCTCCCAACTTGTTGTTTACTTCCGGTGTTCTGGCGCGTACAAGACATCTCGCTACTCAAAAGACCAAGATTCCTTGCGAACAGAGCTTGCGCAGAACACACGCTTTGATGGGGATATCCCGATATGCGTTTACACGACCAAACATTCGGGTTAGAAAAGGGTTACCCCAGGTGTAGTAACCGGGTTTTTAAAAACCCGGTTATGAGCATATCCGGGTTTCTGGCGGTGTTTACAAGGACCTGCGGAACCGGGTTATTGTGAATATTCGGGTTTTAAAAGGGTTACTGGCTACATGTAAACGCACTGAGTGACACACTTTGCAGGGGGGATTTGGCATTTAACTTTTCTTGGCATCTGGAAAAACATCTCCTTTTGCCCCCCTTTATTTGACTTTTTGCCCCTTTTATTTTGATCCAAGATCATTATTGGGCTGACCCTATTAAAACGTTCTACACCCCTGCTTAGTACTTAGTGAAGTATTTTTAAGCCAGTATAATATGACTGAAACACAAATTTACTTGGCATTATTGACCAATATCTTTGATTTAATTTATTTGTTATGAACATCAAGATGCATTACAGTGAACATTATAATTAAGTAAATATTTCAAGTGCAGAGAGGAAACAACCCATAGAAAGAGAAAAATAGAACAGGTCAGATGCACCTAATAAATAAAATTACTAACATAAACTCAGGAATCTGTTTCTTTGCTTCATTGTTCTGGTGCTGAAATATCACTAATGTGAACCAAAGGAGATACACAGATGAATGCACCTTATTATTTGGAAATTAGTGGGTGTGGTTTACATCAATACATTATTTTAAATATGAAATTTATATGGATTGATCAGAAGTTGCTATGTGTATTGTTTATTTGAAAACTATTTACAGAGCAGCCTCAGAGTTGAGATAAAATATTTTTGATCACAATAGTAAAGGAACTATTACAGAACAAGTTTTTCAGTAAAATCAGAACATTAATTTTTAAGTGCATGAATTAATACATCTGAACTCATGCAGTAGGAACTAGGAAATATGAAATACTAGAACCATTTTATTTTAATTTGATTAAACTGATTTTTTCCTAATGTTGTTGGCATTTTTCCCACACCCAGTTAAACAAAACAATGTTGATTAAGGTGTGTGTGTGTGTGTGTGTGTGTGTGTGTGTGTGTGTGTGTGTGTGTGTGTGTGTATTAAAATTTTTTTTTAAATCCCGACCGGAGCGGAGGCAGTGACCGACGCATGCACAAGCTGTTTACAGCTCTGTCTTGTCAAATGCACCACGTACGTTATGAAAAAAGAAACTTTAAATATTGAACTGAAAAAGAGGCGAGCTGAAGAAAACCTAGGGAGTTCTGAAGAAACGTGAGCAACAATGAAGCAAGCACAGAGAGATCCGTTACTGTCTCTGTGTGTGTGCATGGGCCAGAGCAGAGTTTTGTGTGTAGGGAGGGGCGGGCGCTCCATGTGACTGGCCAATCATAGAGCGTAAAGGTATTCAGTTACCCAATGAGGATTTTTCTTCAGCACGATTACAGATATTTACAAGTTTTACTCGTTTCATGCTCGTATTCGTCAAAAATGCTTTATCCGGGCTCATCCCTGGTAACCACCCTGCCCTGCCTACTCCTCCTTGCTGCCTGCCGGCTGTGATCACAAGCAACAACAGAGTAGTTCCCGCTGCTTCTTTGGGAAACGGCGCCAAAAAAAAAAAAAAATCTATAAAGCGGGATCTTGCAGGAGTGGCGCTGGGATTTCAGCTATGGCGGGCCGCCACGGCTACGCCTATGTAAGGGAAACACTGTGTTAATATCATGTGTGTTATGTTGTTATTGTTTTAGTAATAGTGTTTGTTATTCAGTTTCTGAACGGTGAAAGTCCAAACCAACAGTTTTGGTTTACAGAGCACAACGACTCCTGGGGGGAGTATTCACTTCAGCCTCACAGGCTCAAGGGCACCAGATTCAGATAAGAACTTGTTTTGGGGCCAGACAGAGATAATTTCCTCTCCATCTTAAAGTTCTGTTGGTCCTCAACCCCTCTAAATCCAATAATGGTGTAAATTAATCTATCACAATCCGTGCTGATTCGTCAACTCTATTCTTGATCGAATCCACCTTCTGTGCCAGAGTCTGAATCTCAGCCAAAGTTCCAAGCTTACGACTCATCTCGACAATTATATGAGTTTGTGCGTTCACAGCGCGGTGTAATCCATCCCTGAGCTGCGGGATTGAACCAATATTCCTCAATAGCTCATTAATTTTCCGGTAAACCAGATAACCACCCAGGCCAAAAAGCAGTCAACCTGACACCAACACAACAAATATCCAGACATCTTCAGAATCCTCTACAGACAGTTGGGAGAGGCAGATCAGGTTCCACTGTTTCCAGGAGTCCATAACATGCCCAGCTGGCTCTGTCCCAGAGGGGCATCCGGGAGCCCCTTCTCCCATTCTCATCGTTGAAAAAATTTTGTCAATCGCGTTGAGAGACCAACTGACCAGGTCCATTTTTAATCATTTCCAGTTTCCAGAAAAAAATGCAGAAGCGCCGTACACCCAAAGACAGACAAAGAGCCTTGGGATAAGATAGGGAGGAGAGGAGGGGAAAAAAGCGTCTGTACTCTCCAAGAGCCGGAAGAAGAACGGTACACCTTGGTAAATTATGGAGGACGCTAGACGGTATTCAAATTTGGACACCACCCAAGCCTACATCACAGCAATAGAAGAACCCAGATGGGTCATGCTCTACACCGTACCTGAGGGCCAGGCCCAATGGGCCCCATGCTTCGAGGGCCACCCATCCTCTGCATTGGTCCCAAGTTAGGATGACCTGAAAGATTAAAGACAAGAGCATGTGAACAAAACAAAACAAAACAAAAAACAAGATGAATGAACAAAATATGCAGAATTTAGCTATATATATAATATAATATATATATAATATAATATAATATAATATAATATATATATAAACATCAGCACCTTGTGGCCGTGTAGGGTCCATGTTGGGCAACATGGGATGAGGACCTGGTCCTCCACCTGGTGGCTAGGAGAAACACAGAAAGCCAATGTAAACAGTCATGTACAACCTCTCTGGATGTCAAACACAGAACAGGTTCCAGGGTACCGACTGTGTTCTAAACTCACAGAGGAACTTAACTCAATGTTCCGTGTGTGTGTGTGTGTGTGTGTGTGTGTGTGTGAGGTCCCTACCTGGCTGGCCATCCTCATGGGGGGGCCTCTTGGGCCTCCAGCGAAGCGAGGCGACATGAAGGACTACAACACAAACACAGTTGTTTCTTCAAACTTCAAGCACACGACACATTTTCTCAACTGTTCTCATGTTTTAGTTTCAAATCTGAAGTTGTGTGAACATTTAAAGCAACACAAGCCTTAGAAGCTCAGAGGAATGCCAAAGCATGAAGCATCAGAAACAGCATCCCCAAGTTATTGCTGATAGTAAACCACAGAAGAAGAAAAAAGACTAGAAAGAATTGGAAGGCTAGGCAGCATTACCTGACTGTGAGGTCCCATCATACTGTTAGGGGGAGGAGGCTGAGGGTGAGGAGAGCCCTGGGGACCAGGAGGACCCTGTGGCATCACACAGAATAATGAGGCGAGGGGGTGGAAAAGGGACAGGAAGGAGGAGGAGATAAAAGAGCAAAATGAGGGAGCAAGAAGAAGCAGAGAGAAGCAGGGTTACTGCAGGTCAGGGGACAGTCAAGAGTGCAAGATCCACAGTGTGGTGCTAAAATAAAAAAATAAACATGATGCCCGTTTTCATGTATCCAACTGCAAAAGTGAGACTGAATAGAGGAACAAACAAATCACAGCCTTGGATGAGAGAAAAGAGACAGAGATGGAGAGGATGTGAGCTCTTCTGCCTGTCAGTCAAGACATCAAGAAGCCTGCTGCATGCAACCTGTTATCAGAGCTCGTTTCCTTCAATTAACAGCATCAATTAAGCTCTATGCAATTAGCTTCATAACAACACTAAACATGGGCAATAATGCTGCTGATCTGACAAAGTGAGGGGTCTAATTAAGCCGCCTCCTTTGCTTTTTGCTCTGGATACTACGTGTGTGTGTGTGTGTGTGTGTGTGTGTGTGTGTGCGTGTGCGTCCTACATAGATGTGAAATGTCTGTTGGCACTAGCATGTTGAAATAATGAGTCCCACTACCAATTTGGCTTCTAGCTCAAGAAAAACATTTGGACATGAGGATAATTTGCCCAAGTGGCAGAAGAGCAACGGTTAGCTCCACACAGGTGCCTGCTGAGGGTTTATCTTCATGACATATTGATTTAAGTAGGTGCTGCACCTTTCGATTTCTCCATTAGGGAAAATGGCCAGACCACGCCTACTTACAGCACAGGAGGGGTCCACACACACACACACACACACACACACACACACACACACACACACACACACACACACACACACACACACACACACACACACACACACACACACACACACACACACACACACACACACACACACACACACACACACACACACACACACACACACACACACACACACACACACACACACACACACACACACACACACACACACCCCCCCCCCCGCTGGTGGGGTTGCCAAAAGTTACACAAACAGAGTTTCCTTGATTTCATTTCAGATCAAGTCTTTGGGGACGTCCACCTTCCTAACAGTAGTACTAATTATTATTGCAACTCATGATGGACTTACTTGAAAAAATCCAGGTGGCATGGGTCCTCCTGGCATTCCCTCACCAGGAGGCATCCCTCCCATCACAGGGCTGGGGGCCGCTGCTGCACTCTGAAAGCAAAAGATCAGCATGATGATGCTTCCTGCCCTTTCTAACGTTAGCAACTGTTGCCTGGCTGCATGTGCACTGCCTCCGTGACCCGTGTTCAGACCTGTGAATAAAACCCAACGCATTTCCTGTTTAAGCACCATTTAACCAACTGACCTGTTGTCATCTGCCATCTCAGTAAGGTATTAATGGGGTCTTTATTGAGGTCTGAGCTCTGCCGATTGGGATCCAGCATGATCAGATAAGTATCAGAGGGATGCACCGAGTCAGTGGCTCCAAAGTGCTGCTGCACAGCAGGAGAGCGCTGGGCCTATTTCCTGCTCAAACCACAGCCCTAATTCACTAATGTGCCATTTGCTTCGGTCACACGCTCCTAATTGACTGAGTTTTTCTTCCCTGCAGCTGAAGCAATCTGAGATGAGCTAATGTCTTTAGAGCTGTGGGGTTCAGCTTCCAGAGCACAACTACAGAAATAGAGAAGTGCCTTCAGTACAATTTGTTATTGCTCGCTCATATTGTGGAGTAGATAAATGCGAGCAGGCAATAATCACTACAAGACTGGGTGTATCAGCATCCACACTCCCGCGCAGCTCTGCAGTCCCACAGACATCACTGGTCAATTGCCAACACTCTCCCTTTTATTGACTGCACCTTTCCTAATTATATCTGCTCCGGCCGCCACTGCAGAGCCACTGAGAAATGCCTCAGAGGGGAGAGAAGTGAGGCAGCAGGGAAAAGCCTCGGTAGGCCCAGGACACAAGCAACACAAACACTGCCTCGTTAAAGGGCAGGGCCACGAAACCGAGACCAAGAAATCATCGAGTCTGCCTGGTATCTCAGAGCTTCTGCTGTTCACGTCGTAAAAATGTCTTTTTCTCTATACCTTCTGGAGCATATCTTCATCTTTGAAGGCCTGAAATTAGGAATAGTGACATTTAAAAAGTAAAAGTAATTTTTAAATGTATTATATGGCTGACTTTTTTTTAAATACAGCATATAATTAAGTTGTATAAGTGGGGGTGCTCAGTTCTAGTGCGGGTAATCATAAATAAAGTTAATCAACACCCTTTTTGAAACCTGAACAGTTTTGTGGTTTTTAGAAAATCTTGTTAACTAAAACATTTTTATTCTTTGCTTATAGGAAACTAAAAGGATAAAAATGACATTTTTCATCAAACTACAAAGTAAATAAAAATGTCACATCAGGAAAAACGTGTCCAAGATAGAGGTGATGAATACTTTACACGTCCGGACGAGTTAAAGAACGGGGTTTTTGAAATCCATTTAGTGAGAGACTTTTATGGCGTTTGTAGTCTGGTGTGAATATTGGAAGGTATGCAGCTCACTGAATTTTGTTTATGTCAATCACAAAAACTACTAAACTCTGTTATGCATGCCTGCTCTTCTGCTGTTTTGCCTACTGGTTATCATTGACGTCCGCCCTGAGCCAGGGATTTCCCTGTTGAGGAAAATGCAGGCAAAATTAAAGAAGAAATGTGGAAAATTGTGGTATCTGGATTTAATCAATACATTTGCAAATTTCAGCACGTTGTTAAGGGGATGTGTTTTGGTGGCCTAAGGATCAGGTCTCTGCTTTTTGCAGATGATGTGGTCCTGTTGGCTTCATCAGACCACGATCTCCAGCTTTTGCTGGAGCAGTTTGAATGTGAAGCAACTGGGATGAGAATCAGCTCATCTAAATCAAAGACCACGGTCTTGAGACGGAAAAGGAAAGAATGCCTTCTGCAGGTCAAGGACGAGGTCCTGCCTCAAGTGGAGGAGTTTAAGTATCTTGTGGTCTTGTTCACGAGTGAGGGAAAGACGGGAGCGCAAGATCAATAAGCAGATTGGTGCAACATCTGCAGTGATAAAACTTCCAGCATCACCTCTCTTGGAGAACTTCTTTCATTAGTTTTATCTGACAGCAGACAGGGATGACACACCCATATTGGCAACCGGTTCATTCATGGCCAACTACCCATGGATAGCAGGCAGCTGCACCATCAACAGAGAAAACCTCTCTGATAGAGGAAGTCGGCCTGCTAATATCTGCAGCACCCTCTGATGATGATCAGCTCACTAACCGATAGCAGGTTCAAGTGGTCACCCTGCTACTTCAGGAAACCCCGCCCACCCGCTCTCAGACGGCCGGACAGATGGAGATATTCCAGAGATGAACTATCGTTCCTGCCCACTCAGTTCAGAGACAGTAGCTACAGTATTTCACACAGTTTCTCAATCCCAAAACAAAGTGAAAGTGAATCAAACTCAGCAAACGCGACACGTTTGAGTTCCTCTATTAGCCCGTCATTAATGACGCAGAGCATCAACAGCACTTCAGAGGGATTATTTTCTTTTTTTAATGTAATAATTATCTTGTTAATTCAGAAAATGAGCCGATTTTTTCCCCCCGGTAAAAATCATCTCGTTAATACTGAAAAACAGAGAAGTTATTTATTTATTTATTTTTTAATGATCTTGTTAAAGTAGCTTTCCGGAGTTTTTCCCTTTCAGAAATGATGTGCGATTTTTCAGAAATTGGGAAAAATGATTGTCTTATCATGTATTATGTATATAACGTATGCAATACCGTAAGTCTCTTTTTGCTAAGCACGCCCCCTGCCCCACAGAGCTCGTGCAATAGAAAACTGAGCTCTGACCAGCTAAGTGTTAGACTACCGCTTACATGCTTCAAATTTAAGGAATACCTCGAATGATGCAGAGTTGATGAACTTTTCACGGACAAGTCTCTAAAATACAAATATATGAGAACACAACAAGACATGAGAATAATACTTGTAAAACAACGTGTTTTAGCTCTGTTTGTCGGCTACAGAAGCGAGAGGGTGCTCGCTGCAGAACCACAAAGGCGGAGCTGCACCATAAGGTGGAGCTGCACCAGGGTCAGCCCCGCCCATTCACGCAAACTCAGCCTAGCCCACTGACTTCCGTTTTTGTTTTCCAACTTCATCGCAAACTAACCTGACCCACATGAATTATGGCTGTTACTACTTTACAAATGTTAATGCTATGTTCTATGCTCCAATTAAACAAGATAAATATAACTTGCTACATGACAAAGCCTGAATACATCTTGAAATGAAACGATTTCTTTTAGCAGATATCTGCCCACAGCCGCTCTAACAATAATATGCTGCAACAGCATGAGTGACTATCATATGTGCTCTGGTAGTCCCGTGGTAGGATCATCTGAAGCAAATTTTGCTTCCCCCTCAGCTGATGCTGGTTCGATTCTCGGTGGGATCGGCAGAAATCTATTTAGCCAGCTGAAACATTGAATTTGTTTATATTTTAGTTGTAATGTTTATTTTCAGCAAAATATTTATGTCTCTAAAAGTTCTTTGAATTTGGTCGTTCCTAAACAGCATTTTAGTTGAAACTCTGCTCACAAATGGACTCACACTGGCTAAATAAACGAATAAATAAATAAACACATTAGTCATTATATTGTAAACGGTATACCAGTAAATTGTTGTAAACATAGTACTGGCAAGTGTAGCTAGAAATTAAGAAAAGGGGTTGTAATCTACCTAAGATTTCTGCCACTGGGAGTCGAACCTGCGCAAAACTACATGCAAACCTGCCTCCATAACCTCTACCCCACCACATCTGATATAAAGTAAGTGGTGTTACATGTAATTGTCCTATCCAGTGTGTCTTTGGAGATGGGATGTATGGTTTATTGGCGGTGTCTCAGTAGAAGTCATTTCAGAAATAATTTGTCAGAAAATTCACAGAATGTCCAGATTTGAGAACCAAGACCAGACCCACTTCAGGGGAGGAGACCAAATTGAAGCTGAGATGGGAGGAAAATGCATGAATGAGGCCAAAAATGGCTTTGGCGTGTTTCTTATGAGGAAACTACAGTATAACATGATAAAAAGTTCCAAAAGTTAGATTTTTAATTATATGGAACCTTTACAAAAACTGTTCAGTTAACTTCTCACCTCCGTCCTCAATCTTGCATTTTTTAGCTATAAAACCCTCTTTGGTTCCAGAATGCTATCAAGTCTGACAACTGGAAGGAATTGTACTGACTCTGATGGAATGGACGGGGCTGACTCTGGAATGGGCGGGGCTGACTCTGGTGCAGCTCCACCATCTGGTGCAGCTCCGCCTTTGTGGTTCTGCAGCGAGCACCACTTGACAGAAGCACATTATCAAACAAGAAACGTGAAGTCGCCATCTTAAAAAAACAGAAGAAATTAGTTGTGTGATATGCTTGTCAGCCACTAGATGGTGCCATCGGAAAAGAGAAATACACCGGAAAGAGACTTTAATTTGGAAAAACAGAGCTTTTTGGTTTTTTGTGGCTGAATGCTTGAATGAACGTGATTGGTCTCAGGGTTAATTTGCCTAGGTAATCATCTCGGAGATAAGTTGGGAGTGTCACATCTTCTTTTCTGCCAGCTCTGCAGATGGACATCATTCTGAATGTCTCTTTTAGCATCTTTGGGAGTCTAAACTATCCCCTCACAGGAGAGTTGAAGCACTTCCCAGGTGGAAGCGGAGCAGTCCCGGTGGTTGTTGACGCTGGTTCTGCTGTGTGCTTTCGTTCAGTTTCACTTTGGTCCTCTGATGTCTTTTTTAGTGATGCACCAACAAGACATTTTTGGAAACCGATATTAAGATCACCGTTATAGCCGATATTTGCCAATATTGATATACTGACAATAATGCTTCTAAAATCAGCAGATTTTGTATAGAATGAAAATTATTAAAGCTGAATTTACGTTATTATGTACACACACCACACATTTACGTTTCTGAGATGATTCATTCACTGTCACATGACTAAAAAATTACACATCACCCCCCTTGCCTTCCGAAACAGGCAAACAAATGGAGACGAGATGGAAAAAATATTGGTTGTTAATATCGGCCCGATTTTATTTATCGGACTGATACCGATATGTTAAAAAATGACTAACATCGGCCGATACCCATACTGATGCCGATACATTGTCCATCCCTAGTCTTT